AACAGAACTAGGAAATAAGAAGGACTCTAAGAGAAAAATGCATGGACCCGGGAGAATCAGGATATCCTGAGTTACATGGGGCCATGATAGTAGGGGAGAGGGAGCTGGCAGAATGATAGGATGAGAAGAGGAGGGGAGAGAAATAAATGAAAGAGCAGAATGGTTGAGTTGGGAAAAGAATAGAGGAGAGCAGGATGAGATATACCATAACAGAGGGAGCCATTATAGGTCCGAGGAGAGGAGAGATCTAGCACTAGGGAGATCTTCAGAGATCTACAAGGATGACAACAACTGACAATCTAGGCAATGATGGAAAGGCTACCCTAAATGCCCTTCCCCTATTATAACACTGATGACTATGACTACTTTATACTCCATCCTAGAGCCCTCATCCAGTGGCTGATGGAAGCAGAGGCAGACACCCACAGATAAACACTGAACTGAACTCTGGAATTCAGTTGCAGAGAGGGAGGAAGGAAGATCTAAGGGGTCGGGTCCAGGCTGGTGAAACCCACAGAAACATCTGGCCTGAGCAAGGGGGATCACATGGACCCCAGCCTGCTGTCTGGGAGGCCAGCATGGGACTGAATCAGACCCCTGAATTTGGATGTCAATCAGGAGGCCTCGGCACTCTATGAGGTCCCTGGTAGTGGATCAGTATTTGTCGCTGTTGTATAATAAGGGACTTTAAGAGCCCATCCCATGTGAAGGGATTCTATCTTGGCCAGGACACATGAGGGAGGGCCTAGGACCGGCCCAGGATGATGTGATGGACTTTGAGGAGCCCAATAAATGGCCCTACACACCCTGGGGAGCATAGGGGGGATAGGGTGGGAGACTGGTTGGGGGTGGGAGAAAGGGAGGGAGAGGAAGAGGGAGAAGGAGAGGTAGAAGGGATTGGCACATGAAGCAAGCTTGTCCCTAATTTGAACTAAAAAAAATTTAAATTTAGTAGTTGCTTTTGAAAGTATATTAAATAATCTACCTTTTAATCTTTTCAACATAAATTTTTATTTAAATTAGAAACAATCTTATTCTACATACCAATCCCAGTTCCCCTTCCCTCCCATCCTACCATGTTCCCCACCAACCCCACACCCATCCTAAACCCATCCATTCACCAGGGAGTGTGAGGCCTCCCATGGGGGATCATCAATGTCTGTCACATCATATGGGGCAGTGCCTAGGCCCTCCCCCATGTATCTGGGCTAAGAGAGTATCCCTCCATGGGGAATGGGCTACCAAAGTCCATTTGTGCACTAGGGATAAATACTGGTTCCATTTTCAGAGGCCCCATAAACTGTCCAGGCCTTCTAACTAACACACATGTTCAAAGGGCCTGGTTCAATCCTATGCTGGTTCCCCATCTATCAGACTGGGGTCCATGAGCTCCCACTTGCTCAGGTCAGCTGTTTCTGTGGGTTTCCCAAGCATGGTCTTGATCCTTTTGCTCATCACTCCTCCCCCTCTCCAACTGGATTTCAGGAGTTCTGCTCAGTGCTTAGCTGTGGGCTCTGATTCTGCTTCCATCAGATACTGGATGTAGGCTCTAGGATAGCATTTAAGGTAGTCATTAATCTCATTATAGGGGAAGGGCATTTAAAGTAGCCTTTAAATTTAAAGTAGTATTGCTTAGATCTTATGATATCTTTATCCTGCCTTTTCTCTTTTAAGAGTAGATTCAACATCCTATCATATCTGTATTCTTATTTTTTCTTTTAATTATAAACTGTTTGGCCTATTGTTCAGGTTTATTACTAGCAAACTCCTACAACTTAAATTAACCTATATTTCTTATCTATGTTAACCACTTGGCTTCACACCTTTTCTCAGTATGGCAATCTCATCTTGCTTCCTTTGTGTCCGGCTAGTGACTCTCTCTTTGCATTCCTCTCCCCAGAACTCCCTTATTCTTGTAGCCTCACCTTTACTTCTCTCCTGGCTGCTGACTAATCAGTGTTTAATTAAACAATATGAGAGACAAATCTTTACAGTGCTCAAGAGTTTTATCCCACATCATTGGCTATTCTCAGCATTTTCTCTCTATGTGACACTGCATTTCTATTACTATTTAGAGCAATGAAGAACTCCTTTTATAATTTTATAGTGAAACCATCTGCCCTAGGCTTTTTGCGGGGAGGAGTGGGAGACTTTTGAAGACTGCTTCTATTTCCTCCGGGTTTGGGTTTATAAGTCTATTTAAATTGTTTATCTGGTTCTGATTTAATTTTTATATGTGGTACCTATTCAGAAAATTGTCCATTTCTTTCAAATTTTCCACTTTTTTTGGAGTACAGGTTTTAGAAATATGACCTAATGATCCTCTGGATTTCCTCAATGTCTGTTGTTATGTCTCTTTCCATTTATGATTGTTTTCATTTGGATATTCTCTCTCTGCCTTTTGGTTAGTTTGGCTAAGGGTTTGTCTATCTTGTTGAATTTCTCAAAGAACCAAATCTTTGTTTAATTTATTGTTTGTATTGTTCTCTTTGTTTTTGTTTTATTGATTTCAGCCCTCAAGAGTGCTGTTAAGTCACTAATGTGAGATTTCTCCATGTTCTTTATGTAGGTATGTAGTGTTATGAACTTTCCTCTTAGCACTGCTTTCATAGTGTCCCAGAAGTTTAGGTATGTTGTGCTTTCATTTTCATTGAATTCTAGGAAGTCTTTTATTTCTTTCTTGACCCATGAGTGATACAGTTGAGCTTTGTTTAATTTCCATGAGTTGTGAGCTTTCTGCAATTAATGTTGTTGTTGACTTCTAACTATGGTGATCTGATAAGATACAGGGGTGATTCCAATTTTTTGTATCTGTTGAGGTTTGCTTGGTTACTGAGTCAGTTTTAAAGATGGTTCCACGAGGTGCTGAAAGAAGGAATATTCTTCTGTGTTTGGGTGCAATGTTCTATAGATGTCTGTTAAGTCTATTTGAGTCATAATGTCTGTCAGTTCCTTTATTTCTCTGGTAAGTTTCTGTCTGGAAGACCTGTTCAGTGGTGAGAGTGAGGTGTTGAAGTATCCCGTATTGGTGTGTGGGGTTTGATGTGTGATTTAAGCTTTAGTAAAGTTTCTTTTAGAAATGTGGATGCCCTTGTATTTGAGGCATAGTTGTTTAGAACTGAAACTTCATCTTGATGGATTTTACCTGTGATAAATATGAAATGACCTTCTCTATCTCTTTTGATTAATTTCAGTTTGAAGTCTATTTTGTTAGATATTAGGATAGCTATACCTGCTTATTTCTTAGACCCATTCAATTAGAAAATCTTTTCTCAACACTTTACTCTGACATAATATCTGTCTTTGAGGTTGCGGTGTGTTTGTTGTATGCAGCAGAAGGATAGATCTTGTTTTCTCATACATTCTGTTAGTCTGAGTCTTTTTATCAGGAAATTGAGACTGTTGATATTAAGAAATACTAATGACCAGTGATTATTAATTCCTGTTATATTTGGGTTTGTCGTTCTTGGTGGTAGTGTTTGTGTTTGCCTTCTTTTGAATTTACTGGTGTAAGGTTATCTGTTTGTTATGCCTTTGTTGGTGCAGCTAATATCCTTGGGTTAGGGGTTTCCTTCTAGTGATTTCTGTAGGGATGGATTTGTGTGGAGGTATTGTTTAAATCTGGTTGTGCCAGGGAATATCTTGTTTTCTTCATCTTCTATGAGGGAAAGCTTCACTGGGTATAATAGCCTGGGCTAATAACCATGATGGTCTTAGAGTGTCTGTATATTGTCTGTCCAGGACCTTCTAGCTTTCACTGTTTCCATTGAGAAATTGGGTATAATTCTGATAGGTCTGCCTTTATATGTTCCTTGGACTTTTTCCTTTGCAGATATTAGTATTTTTTTATTATGTATGATTACTGTTTTGATTATTATGTGGCGAGGGGAAATTTTTTTGGTCCAGTCTATTTGGTGTTCTGCAAGCTTCCTGTACATTCATAGGCATATTGTTCTTTAGGTTGAGAAAGTTCTCTTTTATGATTTTGTTGAATATATTTTCTGTGTCTTTGAGTTGGACTTCTTCCTCATTTGATCTTTTCATGGTCTCCCAGATATCCTGGATATTTTATGTTAAGAATTTGTTAAATTTAACGTTTTATTTGACTGATGAAAGTATTTTCTCTATTGTATCTTCAATGCCTGAGATTCTTTCTTCCATCTCTTGCATTCTCATTTTTATGCTTACTTGTGTTACTGCTTATTTACCCAGATTTTCCATTTCCAGAATTCCCTTGGTTTGTGGTTTCTTTTTTTCATTATCTCTATTTCAATTTTCAAGTCTTGGATTTGTTTGTTTGCTTTTATCTTGGCTTTCTTTATGGGATTTATTGATTTCTTCCAAATTTATTTTGTCTTTTCTTCCTTTTTTTTAAGAAAATTTTTATTTTTTTCTTTAAGGACTTCTATTATCTTCCAAAAATTATTTTTAAGATACTTTTCTTCTCCTTCATCTGTGTTGGGCTGTTCAGGTCTTGCTGATATAGGACCACTGGTTCCTGGTGGTGTCATATTCTTCTTTGTGTTGTAGAATGTATTCTTAAACTGACATCTACCCATCTATTACTCCAATCAGTACAGTTTGGACCTGTAGCTCTGGTGGTTGCTTTCACTTTGGGTGCATGTGAAGGTCTGGTGGTTGCTGGTGAGCAAGTGTAGTGGTGGTGAATTAGTGCCCAGATGGTTGGCAGAACAGCTACTGCCACCTGGTCCTAGGGATGCAGTGGGTCTCTATCTTTATCTTATATGATGAATTCTTTGATTTGCTCAGACGCCTCAGAGTTGTATATTTACCATTACAGAAATGAAAGAATGGGTTTCAAATTATTGGATCAGGTTTTATATATGAAATTACATTCTATATTTAAAATGCTTCTATATAGGAAAGACATTTTTCTACACATATAATGTGTTAATAAATAGACATGTCAATAGTATTTTATTAGTAAAATATGAGACACACAGAGTCCATTATTTTTTATTCAAATCATTTTCTTAATTTCATGAAATAAATGTTTGATTTCTGCTGATAATTAATTTCTTCAGAGCATCCTTCACTTCCTTGTTCCTTAGGCTGTAGATCAAGGGGTTCAACATGGGGATGATCACTGTATAGAAGACAGAAGCCATTTTGTCTGTGTCTAGAGAGTGATTAGAACTAGGTTGCAAGTACATAAAAATGAGGGTTCCATAGAAAATGGTCACTGCCAGCATGTGTGAGCCACATGTAGAGAAAGCTTTGCGCCTTCCCTCAGCTGAGCGCATCCTCAGGATGGCAGAAATAATGAATGTATAGGAAATAAAAACAATGAGAAGAGAGGATATGAACATGATCCCAGCACACACAAAGATCCATAGCTGTTTGGAGTGAGTGTCTGAGCAAGTTAGCCTGAGGAGGGGCATGTCATCACAATAGTAGTGATTGATGATATTAGAGTGACAATAGCAGAGGCGGAAGGTGAGGATGGCATGAAAAAGTGCTACAAGGAAGCTGTAGCAATAGGGGGCAGCTACAAGCTGAAGGCAAATTCCTGGGGACATTAGGACCATATAGAGTAGAGGGTTACAAATGGCCACATACCTATCATAGGCCATGGAAGCTAGTAACAAACACTCAGCTGTCATGAAGGCTAGGAAACATCCTAATTGAGCAGCACATGAATTGAAGGATATCACGTTTTTTTGGTATAAGAAATTCCCAAGCATTTTGGGTGTAATGACAGAAGAGTAGCAGAAATCAACAAAAGCTAAGTTGCTGAGGAAGAAGTACATGGGTGTGTTGAGTCTTGCATCTGTTCTAATGACCAGAATCAAACCCAGGTTGCCAACTGTTGTGAACAGATAGATAGCTAAAAATACCACAAAGAGGGGCGGCGGTTTGTGAGGCCCACAAGAATGAACTCTGTCACCTGGGTGCAGTTTATATGAGCCATGAATCTTCACAAAATCTATGTGCAAATCAACAGAAAAGAATGTAACCAATATTTGACAAGAATATTTTATCTTAATGTAGTGAAACACAATAGAATTTTTAACATAAAATTATAATTGAATTGCAAACTGATTAACCATTTTGGAATAAGAGCAAGAGATACCATGAGAAGGCATTTTCTTGAAGACATTTCTCTCACTCTAAACTGATAGCAGGATAAGATCCACTTCACTGATTCAATCTTTCCCTGAAGTTGCTACTTATTATTTAAAACTCAACATTAATCTTTTGAATATTTAAAACAGATATTCATCAGAAAATTTGAATATGAATCTATTCCAATTGCATTACCATACCTATATGACATAAGCTACATTTTGTTTCTGTAGAAAATATACAGAATTCTCTTCTTCGTTTCTATATCTACTATATATACCCTGAAGAAATTATGACAGCTAATTACATGTTGGAAGTCAGATGGATCCTATGCTTTGTCAAAGGCCCTAATAAAAGGACAAAGGGAACTTTAATTCTTTGTCCTTATCCAGAAGCAGACTCAGCAAGCCCAGCATAGGCCAGAAATCACTGCTTGGAAGGACTAAATGCTGCACTTTCTGGAAACTGACTCTTTCTCTGGGGTTGTTATTATCAGTTCTAAGGTGATTGTGTCTGAAGCATACAGGGTTTTCTTTGGTAACTTGTCTAATTTAGTTTTCTGGTGACCTTGGCTCATTCGTTCTACTACAAATAGTACACAGGATGCTGTATGTTCTAATAAACTTACTTGGAATAAGTCGTCAGGTTTTGCAAGAGCCTCTGGTCCCAGCTACTGTTTTGTCTTCTTTATCGCTCAATCCTACATAATCCCACTTGACACCTCACTGTTTAGGACCCTCATCCTACAGGTTCCAGTCACCTACAAATATTTGTAATAGTCTTATAAATGCATCTGGATAGCATGATGTCAGACACCACAATGGGCTTTATAGCATATTTATTTCTGTCTATTTTTAAGCCCTAACCTCTTGTGAAATATCCATTTTACAAATGAAAGAGAAGATTCATGAAAAGGCTCAGTATCTGAAGTGAGATTAGACAGCTGGAATTAAAAACAGGCTTTCTAACAAGGTCAAGATCGTCTCATGAATATATACTCATTATGACTGTTTATCTCCACTCAGCACAGCACATCCTAAGGAGAGTACAGATGATGTACAAATGGGAGATAAGTATAGTCAGAAGGAAGGATCCAAGAGTGGTGATGCATGCCTGTAATCCCCGAATTTGAGAAGTAAAGGCAGCTAGAATCAGGAATTGAAAGTCACCCTGGTTTATATATAGAAAGGCCAACCTGGGATACCTTACACTTAGTCTCAAAAAACAAAACAATAAGCAACATAAGGAAAAAACAATTGACAATTAAGAAAGATACCCAGAAGGGAGGGAAAATATGATAAGAACTTAGGCAATGGTCCAAATATGTTTAGGGTGTCTGTGCCAGTAACTCCTACCAATGTATGGCTAAGATGTTTCTATTGAATTTTGTGTGAGATACAGTATCTTGATATGTTAGACAAATTAGATGCCCACACTCATTGTATTTATACATTTAAAAATAAGTTTAATTAAAAAGGACTATTGCTTCCCAATTTACTTAGATCACGTCACTTTCTTTGTGACTGTTGTACACAAACACACAAATACACACACACACGCACACACACACACACACACACACACACACAAACCATATCAATGTTATTTCATCAGTATTGTACTTTAAGTACAGTATCTTCATAGATTTGCTTGTCCTTTTAGACTATTTCCTATGTACAAGGTAATATATGGAATTTTTCTTGCTACTAGATCTCATAGTTTAATATATTTCTCCCCCTATGAAAAATTAAATCAAATTTCAGAAAAACATTAATGACTTTATAGACATTGTATTTCATAAAGCATATAAAAAACTACTTGTAGTTCCTGGTTTCTGTTGTTGGTTTTTTTTTATATATACTCTTTTACTCTTTGGTCTTTGGTGGCCTACCACCCAGTTCCCAAATAAATACATGGAGGCATATTTTTATTTATGAATGAGTGATGGTAGATTGTCTTGTTTCTAGACAACTATTCATAACTTACATATCCCATCTACCTTTTGCCTCTGGCTTTTACCTTCCTCTATTTTTGTATATCTTTCTTTACTTCTTACTCTGTGGATTGCTATGTAACTGGGTGGCTGGCCCCTAGAGTCCCCTTTTTTTCCTTCTCATTTCTCCCCTCATTCCCCAAACTTCTCCTCCTATGTATTCTCTTTGCCTCCCAATACTTCCTATCTTTTCTCCTGCCTTGCTATTGACCATTCAGCTCCTCATTGGACCAATCAGGTATTTTAGACAGGCAAAGTATTACATTGTCACAGAGTTTAAAAAATGCAACATTAAAGAATGGAACACATCTTTCATCATTAAACAAAATTTCCACAGCATAAACAAACATAGTACATCTTCAACTAATAGTCTGCAACAATTTTCTTGTAAGTAACACATTTAAGGTGTCTCAGATGATGAAATCATTTTTTTGTTTTAATTTGAGATGTTTATAGGGCAAGTACTACATTTTGGGTAATTATATTCAATTTCAATTTATTTTACACAAAAGAATTACATTATAGGGTTTTTTGAGATGGCTTGATGCTTAAAGTACTTGCCAGCCAAGCAAGTAGACAGGCTTGAGTTCAAATCTCAAACACCCACAGTAGAATCAGGAACAATGACAGCATTCATCTGTAATCCAGGAACTGGGTGAACAGACACAGAAGGATGCTAATTGGCCAGTCAGTGTAGCTCAAACAGAGCTCTATATCCTTTGAGAAATCTGTCTCAAAGTGAAAGGATGCTAAAGTTGTGATCTCTTACCTTCACAATTGTGCTCACTTGTACTCACCAGCATTTGCACACACACACACACACACACACACACACACACACACACACACACTACATTCTATACAATCTTTAAGCATGGGCATATAAATTTTTAATAAACACATGGAGAAAATACAAAGGAAGGAAATTTTTAGATTCATATGTTTTTGCTTTGATATGAATAAATGATGATTAGTCTTCAATTTAAGGAAACATTTTCAAATAAGAAAAAGAAAATTATGCTTTAGTTTATAAATCTTACTGTTGGTAGCATGAGGATATTTTTAGCCATGATCAAGTGTTGCCAATGTATTAAGAGCTGCCACAGGCAGAGCAGTAGTGGCACACTCTTTTAATCCCAGCCCTCAGGAGACAGGGGTAGGCAGATCTCTGTGAATCTGAGGCCAGCTGGTCTACAATCTGAGTTCCAGGTTAGACAGGGCTACTGAGAATCTGAGGAAAAGCTACCACAAAACAAATAAAAATATCAAAAATTATACCTCATATATAGAGATGTGGCTGTCCAAATATCAAAAAATTAATGAACTCACTTTTTTCTTTGCCAAAAGAGTGCAGCATATTCACCATCTCATAGGATTTCATTATGTATGTATGCTTACCTCTTTTCTGTTATCCACCCAAGGCCTGTCAGTCTTGCCACCAAATCTAGGAACATGAGCATACTTGGCTTCCCTTTAACCATTTTCTATTTTCTTGGGGTAATTATTTTATTGCTTTTCTGAAATACCTTATCACATTTCCTGATACCCAGAAATTCCATCAAATACTTTGAACTTATATTCCTTTGCAAAAGAGATGTGTTTGGGCATATATTTATATAATTGTGCGTGTATTTGCATGAATATCATGTATCTTTGAATACTGAATAAATCCATAAAAACTCTATCATCTTTAGAGAAAGTCTTACAAATGTCCTGGCTTTTCCTAGTGTTTCTACAACACAGAGGCCCAATAGTTCCTCACAAAACACACATAAGTTTGACAAATCACTGATCCTTTCTACACTAGTGAACTTTCTTCACACTCTAATTCTGCTACATGAAAGTTCATTTATTTTTGAATGTTATATATTTATTTTGAATATATATATATATATATATATATATATATATATATATATATATATAACCATTATATATTAGACAACCAAATTGTATAATGTTTCCTGGGGGGCACTATGTCTCCCACTCTCAGCATTATTTAGGTAGCTGTATTTCTTTTTATACAGTTGAGGCGCTGGTGGCTTCCCTTTGTCTGAATTGCCATGTCTGCTGTATTTTTACCATAATGATACACAGCATTAAAGCAGCTAGTGTTTAAATTAGGGAAATGCCATGCAATGGTGATTTTGTCTCTTATTTCAAATTGCTTGGCTAAAGTACTGAAATACAAAATAGAGATAAACTACTCCTTAAAGCATAGATGTGGAATTTTCTCCTGGGTTGAATATACATGATAAAATAGAAAGAAAGAAAGAAAGAAAGAAAGAAAGAAAGAAAGAAAGAAAAAAAATAGTGGAGATTAAGTCTAGGTATATATAGTGGTTCCCTAATTGCAACTTCTTTTCTAATGAAAATTTACTACAGAAAGGCAGAATTTTAAGAAGTGAGGTTGTGACATACATCATAATCTTTCCTTTGACTGTCTCACCATCTCAAAATAACTTAATAGATTTTAGAATTTTCCAATCTTTTCCCAGTCCAATCTAATCTTACATTTTTATGTACTATTAAATATATATATGTATATTATATATATTATATATATAATTAAACAATAAGAAATTTTAGCTTTATTTCAGAATATGTCATCTAAAATATTTGTCTAAATACCATTATGGTATTTGATTGTAAAATATTTATTTTGTTGCTAATGTGAAAACCTGTATGTTGAACTTACCTGAAAAGCACAAGTTTCTATGTCTTCTGCTTGTAATGTTTGGGCAGCTACAAACTATGGGCTTTTATCAGTGTTACTATCCCAAAGGATCTACTTAGAAGAATGAGGTAAGAAAGATTATAAAGAAAAATTATAGTCTGTTCCCCATAGACAC